GTCTGGCAACATCAAATGCTGAAGAAGATATAAAATAGTTGCAACTCTTGTACGTTGCTGATGGGAATGCAAAATGGTACAGCCACTTTGGAAACCGTTTGGAAAACAGTTTGGCAGTCTCTTACAAAGTTAAACATATATTTAGCATATTGGCCAGCAAACTTGCCTTTAGGTATTTATTTATATCCCAGTGAAATGAAAACTTAATGTTGGAAACCATTCTCCATGCGTCTTGCATTCCTACATATCTTGCAAGCAGAGACACTGTCTGTTCTGGTCTTTTCAAGATGTTTATATAGGGAACAGCTTTGGGAAATAGAAGTAATGGCTCATTTCAAAGCAAAGCAAAAGGAGGCATGCTTTTTGTCTGGTGTAAAGATAATATCTAACTCTAGCGCAAAGTTTCTGCATGCTTACAGTTCATTACAGAAGATAGGGTTTCTCTAAATTCAGGGACCCTCTCCTTTAACACAACCACCTGGTCCTCATTGTTTCACCTTATGGGAACCAGGGTTCAGGGAACTGGTGCAAGAAAATGCTGATACTTTGGCTACTGCTATTGCTGTGAGTTATAAAGCCCTTTGTCTGTGATCCAGGAGTCTCGGGTGTTCTGTCTGCATCCACATTAGCTGGTAAGTAAAGTAAAATCTCAGATTCTTCAGTGTCCTAAACACACAGTATTAAAAAAACCTGTAGGCAAATGTTTGCATCAGCTTTATTCATAATGCCAACAGTGGGAGATAACACAGGTCCTTCAACAGAAAACGGATAAATAGTTTTGTAGCCATACTCATCAATAAGATGCTGTTCATCTATAAAAAGGAACGCATTCATAATTCATGAAACAAGTTACACAAATTTCAAGTGCATCTTGGTAAGTGAAAGAAGCTAGAACCAGAAGGTTCTATCACATGATTTGTTTATATGAAATTCTGGAAAAGGAAAAACTAAAGGGACAGAGAAACAGATTAGCAGTTTCCAGGAAAAAGGAGGAATTGGCTGCAATGGGGCATAAGAGAAGATTCCAGGAGTGGCAGGACTGTTCTCTTTGGTACAGTGGTGGTGATACGTGACTCTATGCATTTTTCAAAATCCATAGAAATATATACCAAAAGAGTGGTTTGTACTGTATTCAAATTAAAGCAAAATTCAACTAGGATACGAGGTGACTCCAAGATGGAAGGCAGACCACATCCACTGACTCTTAACTGTAACCCTCACAAATAACAACACCACCAGTTGCTGAACGAAGGAGTTGGTAAGAAAGTACCTGATATGATAGCTTTGGGGGACAGTTTTTTGACTGGATATTGTAAGACTAAAGAGAAAAAGAACTGTACACAAACACTACCGGTGATAAATTTGTTTCTCATGGAGTATGAGTTAGCAATTCTGAAGTGCTTTACATGTACACTAGGGTTGAATATACATGTATAAGTAAATACATCATACAGGATAAGAATCAGGTTTCCCACGGTCAAAGAAGTTGCAAATAGGCAAATAGGTTCATTACAAATGAACCTTGTGGCTCTGGACAGGGGATAGAGGTACAAGTATGAATGCATGGCTTATTTGCTTATTTCATATAAATATTGATATAGAAACATGGCTTGTGGATACATGGGCTATTATCCATCTATCTATCATCTATCTATCTACATGTATATATTTTTTGAGACAGAGTTTTACTCTGTTGCCCTGTGTAGCGTGCCCTGGTGTCATAGGTCACAGTAACCCACCCCTCCTTGGTCTCAAGAGTTCCTCTTGCTTCAGCCTCCGAGTAGCTGGGACTACAGATGCCTACCACAATGCCCCACTAATTTTTCAATTTTCAGTAGAGACAGGGTCTCCTTTTTGCTCAGGCTGGTCTCTGACTTCTGAGCTCAGGCAATCTACCTGTCTTGGCCACCCAGAGTGCTAGAATTATTATTATTATTTTTTCTCTCTCCACTGAGAAGGCCTAGAAGCAATGACATGATCTAGCAGCAATAAGCAAACCCAGGGCTTGGCTCTTGGTTTCTAAATACCATTTTCTAATAAAAGAAACTAAAGTTCTTGGAGAAGAGGTAGCTTCCAGGGCTGGGCTGAGGAAACACATCTTGTATAGCTAGAAAGTCAGGACGTGCTAAAGGAAAAAGCAAAGGATGGACACAAGTTTAAGGATGTGAGAGAGAGCCTGAAAGAGTTCCCAATGGCTAAAGTGAGAATAATTTTAAAGAGAAAAAATAAATAACAATAGTATAGAGTTATTATTATGAAATAAATATCCCTGAGTTCATACTGAAATAAATAAATAATTGGATAAAAAGGGGAGAAAAGGGACCCACTTCTTTATGAGGAATTCCAACAAGTGCATGTAAAAGGAATGAAGGAAATAGAATATCACCATTAGCTCACTCAAAATTGCTGCAAGGAAGAGTCAGCATGGAATGCTAAAATTAGGGGGCAAAAGTTTAAGGAACAGAGGATATTTGCATAGCCTCCAAGTGTCTCCCCCCAAACATTTATTATTGTCAAAGGACAGATACCACCCTAATGAAACAACCAGAGTTGACATCATTGATCACGGGCACATCCCCGTCACGTGTGCCTCAACACGACGCAGTGGGGAGAGCATATCTCCTCTGTGGTATTCTACCCCACACCCATAATCCCCATGTATCATGAGAAAACATTAGACAAAATCAAACTAAAGGACAGTCTACAAAATAGCCTTCAAAAGTGTCAAGGTTAGGAAAGACAAGGGAACAAAAAGAAGCTCTCCCACACTGGAGGAGACGAAAGAGGCATTGCCACTAAATGTCATGTGAGATCCTGGATTGGATCTTGGAACACAAAAGGGGTTTTACGGGAGAAACGGATGGAATCTGAATAAAGTCTATAGTTTAGTTAATAGTATCAATGGGAGTTTCTTAGTAGGCTATGTCAGATGTGAACATTAGAGGAAGTTAGGTGAAGGGAAATGGAAATTCTCTGTACTATTTTTTGCAACTCTTTTGTTAAGTCTAAAATTATTTCAAATGAAAAAGTTAAAAACAAAGCAAAACCCTCCTGCAGGATGCAGGCAGCAAAATGTAGCTCAGATGGCAAACAGCCACTTCTCCCTCTGAGCCCAATCTCAGTAGTCTCTTGTTGACAATGCACTGTTGAAAAGAGGGGGGCAAAGCTAGGAGAAGACAGAACCC